CATACAATCCAATTTAAAAATGGGCAGAAGACATGAAAGACATTTCTCCAAAGAAGACACACAGATGGCAAACTGGCACATTAGAAGATGCTCAGCATCACTCATTATCAGGGAAATGCAATTCAAACCACAATGAAATATCACCTCACACCTGTCAGAATGGCTAAAATTGAAAACCCAAGAAACAACAAATATGGGCGAGGATGTAGAGAAAAAAAGGAACCCTTGTGCACTGTTGGGAATGCAAACTAATGTAACCACTGGAAACAGTATGGAGGTTCTTACCACAATTGAAAACGGAACTACCTTATGATCTAGTAATTCCACTACTGGGTATTTACCAAAAGTGTAAAAACACTAATTGAAATTATATGCACCCCTATGTTTATTGCAGCATTATTTACAATAGCCACAGTATGGGGGCACCTGGGTGGCTCAGTTGGTTAAGCGTCCGACTTTGGCTCTGGTCATCATCTCACGGTTCGTGGGTTCAAGCCCCGTGTTGGGCTCTGTGCTGACAGCTCAGAGCCTGGAACTGCTTCAGATTCTGTGTCTCCCTCTCTCTCTGCCCCTCCCCCATTCATGCTCTGTTTCTGTCTCAAAAATAAAGAAACATAAAAAAATTAAAAAAAAAATAATAGCCACATTATGGAAGCAACACAAGTGTCCATCAATAGATGAATAGAGAAGATGTGGTATATATATGATGAAATATTTATGAAGGCCATAAAAAAGAATGAAATCTTGCCATTTGCAACAACATGGATGGATCTAGAGGGTATAATGCTAAGTGAAATAAGTCAGAGAAAGACAAATACCACGATTTCACTTACATGTGGAAAACAAAACAAAGAAAAAAGGAGACAAACAGCTCCCTCCTGCAGGCTCTTAAATATAAAGAACTGGTGGTTACCAGAGGGGAGGGGGGTATGGGAATGGATAATACAGGTGAAGGGGATTAAGGGTGCACTTATTGTTATGAGCCCTGCATAATGTATAGAATTGTTGAATCACTATATTGTATATCTGAAACTAGCACTATATGTTAATTATACTGGAATTAAAAGAAAATGAAACAATGAGGATAACAATAATTGCTTAATCATGGAGATGTCATTTATCCAATGCCATCACATATGTAAAACAAATAGAGTAGTATCTATAGTATAAAAATATAAATATATACCGGTTCATCTGAGAGGCACTGGACAGGCATACAGCTGAGCTCTAACTGCAGAACTACACAGGAAGTAGTGATAATGAGACACTTAGGTCTGGCTGACATCTCATCCCCACCAAGTATAAAATTCCAGATTTATAAAATTAGAAATCTATATGTAATTATAAAGTAATATATGGAGAAGTGGTACAGATATATAAGATTACACCTCATGCTCTTATTAGGATCATCTGACAGAATTACTGCAACTTTAAGGTGAGGCCTCACACTTACAAATGTCTCTCTTTCCTTCTCTTTCACCCACAGCTTTTCTAGACAATATTCTTTCATTCATACAACATTGAATAAGAACTTTGAATATCAACTTGTTAAAGGTCCTTTTAAAAGACCCGTGACTAAATGACAGTGTCATTCCTGTAAGAAAATCCGTTCATTTATGTACCAAGTATCTACTGTGCACCCGTGTACTGGGCATTGTCACACACTGAAAACACAGTAGTGAGCCAGATGTGGCCCTTCCACTGCTGGAAGGGACAGACAATAAATGTGTAAACAATAAATTATGTAATTTCAGAGAGTCTCAAGTGCTATGAAGAAAACAGGGCATGTCAGTGGATAGACAGGAGATGGGGTGGTCAGGGAGGTGCATTGATCCAGGTCATGTGAAAGCTTGAAAACTGTGAAGCAGACGTGAGGTTTGTCTGAGGAACACCACGAGGCCAATGGGGCTGGTGCCCGGGGAATGGAGCAAAGAGCGAAGCCATGAATTTTCCACGACGCTTTTATATCAAATAGACACTGGTCGAGAATTTATTTCTTGTTGAATGTGTGGCTTCCCACATTGATTTCATAACTGAATATTCAGTGAATAGGACCACTATTTTACTAGTATATTTTATAGTTTACATTGAATTAGATTGAATTAGAAAACTGGGGAAGGAGATGGATATAGCAAGAAGAGAATGGTTTGGAGTCAGAAAGCCTGAATCAGAGGCCAGGCTCCACCATTTGTTATTTGTGTGCCTTGGGCAGTTTACCTACCTGCTTGTAGCTTCAGTCTCCTTGCCTGAAAAGGGAAACACTGACACTGCACCCCACCCTCTGGTGTGTGTGAAAGCCCTCTCTTAGCTGTCCTGTGCAGCCGCCCCAATAAGTCTCTCAGTCTGTACATGGCAGCTGAGAAACAGAAAGAAAAGTGGACAAACAAGATGTTTAATAACAACACATTAATAATGACAGTAAACAAAACATAGCTATTATTTGGGGCTAAGCATGCACTAAGTGAGGTACTGTGTTAGCCTGTTTAGTCTTCTCAACAACTCCCTAAGATTGGTTCTGTTGTTATTCTCATTTTACAAACAGGGAATGAGCAGGCTTCAAAAGGTTATTTGTCCAGGGTCACATGAGGAAACTTCAACCTTCAAACTGAAGTGTTTATTCAAAGGCAAATCCTCTGAGTACCCTTTCTCATTGCTTACTTTTATTTTATTTTATTTTATTTTATTTTAATTAGTTTATCTATTAGTCTTTTATTTATTTTTGAGAGAGAGAGAGAATGCGAGCAGGGGAGGAACAGAGAGAGAGGAAGACTCCAAAGAGTCTCCAAAGAGAGAGGAAGAATCCAAAGCAGGCTCTGTGCTGGGGCACCTGGGTGTCTCAGTCGGTTAAGCATCCGACTTCAACTCAGGTCATGATCTCGCAGCTTGTGAGTTCGAGCCCCACGTTGGGCTCTGTGCTGATGGCTCAGAGCCTGGAGCCTGCTTCGGATTCTGTCTCCCTAACTCTCTGCTCCTCTCCTGTTCACGCTCTGTCTCTCCCTTTCTCTCAAAAATAAAGGTTAAAAAAAAATTAAATGTTCAAAGCAGGCTCCGTGCTGTCAGCACAGAGCCTGACTTGGGGCTCAAATTCATGAACCACGAGATCATGACATGAGCTGAAGTTGGACGTTTAACCAACTGAGCCACCCAGGCACCCCTCATTGCTTATTTTATTTTAGACAAAATTAGAATCAACTTACTGAGGTTTTTCCCAGCCCACAGATTTTAGTAACCTGTAAATTAAACAAGGGTGAGCAGGCTTTGTGGGTGGTGGGCACTCTAGCAGCAACAAGATGGAACACTTTTATAAAAACCAGACACTCACATAGGCACATACACACAAATGAAAACAAAGCAACCAAAAATGAATCTGGGTGTAATGAGGAAAGGGTCACTTTTCTACCTACACAACAATCTTGCCACCTCAGAGCTTGGAGATATATGCCCACCACATTATGCTCATAAGCAATGACAACCAATCACCAAAACATAGGTCATTTATTTACTCTCAAAGGGAAGTATGTAATGAAATTTAGAACATTTCTATCCAAAATGCCTAAAAGTAGAAAACCAAGAAAAAACTTACATAGAATAGCTTATTCTGCAAGGACACTGGATTAAATGAAACATCACTGTATTATAAAAATATGGCAATGTGATTTCACTTATATCAAGTTCCAAACCAGGCAACATGAAATTATAGCCTTGAAGGCTTCATCCTTAGGTCAAAGGGAAAAGAAACACAAGGATGTGCTTGTTGTTTTGTTTTTTTTTTATTAAATTTTTTTTCAATGTTTATTTTTGAGAGAAAGAAAGATGGAGCGTGAGCAGGGGAGGGGCAGAGAGAGAGAGGGAGACATAGAATCCGAAGCAGGCTGCAGGCTCCAGGCTCCCAGCTGTCAGCACAGAGCCTGACGTGGGGCTCAAACTCATGGATGGTAAGATCATGACCTGAGCTGAAGTCGGATGCTCAACCGACTGAGCAACTCAGGTGCCCCAGGATATGCTCATTATTTAAAAGTCAGGAGAGTAGTTTACCTTTAGGAGGGAAGGGCAGGGCTTGCAATTAGGAAGTTGCCCGTGGGGATTTGTAGGGGCCAGCAATGTCCTGTTTCTTGACCTGAGTGATGGTGACACGAGTGTCCAATTCACAGTAATTCAGTAGGCTGTATTTGTATGATTGATTTAAGCACACTTTTCTATATTTGTGTTATATTTCACAATAAATGTTAAAATAATTGAACTTAAAAGATAAACCTATATGACTAATAAAGTATACGATACATTTTGCTCGGGTGTGTTTCATGGATTTCTTATCATTTTATCCTCTGGGAAGCCCTTGTGAGTTAGAGAGGTGGAGAGGGCAGGCATCCTCCTCCTCATTTTAAGACTGGGACCCTTAGAGCTCTAGGAGTTCACTGCCTTGCCTTCATCCTTGTAGTCAGTGGGCAAGCTAGGACTCTCACCCTTCTCTGGTATCTTTGAGTATCCAGCTCTCCTAGCCCCCACCTCATCTTTCAGACATATTCTGGGCATAGAATATACTCCAGAGTAGGGGTGCCTGGGTGGCTTAGCCGGTTAAGTATCTGACTCTTAATTTTAGCTCAGGTCATGATCTCTTAGGGTGGTGAGATGGATCCCTATGTCAGGCTCCATGCTGAGTGTGGAATGTGCTTAAGATTCTCTCTCCCTCTCTCTCTGCCTCCCTCCAACTCGTGTCTTGATTGCTGTTTTTCTCTCTATAAAATAAAAAAAAGGGCGGGGTGGCTCCTGAGTGTCCGACTCTTGATTTAGGCTCAGGGCATGATCTCACCATTCCTGAGATCGAGTCCCACATCAGTCGGGCTCCATGCTGTCAATGTGGAGCCTGCTTGGGATTCTGTCTCTCTCTGCCCCTTCCCCGCTCATGTTCTCTCTCTCAAAATAAATAAATAAACATAAAACAATATATTGCAGAGCAGCTGTGAAGTCTGAGTGAATTTTCTCAGAAATCAGAACCTCACCTGTCACTATGTTCCACCGCAATCTTGTGCTTGCTCTGGGAATCAGTCTTGGCCTCCCTGACCATGTTAAACCAGGCCCTGAACATCTTCTTCTGAAGAAAATGTACACACAGTTTTCGTATGTCTTCCTCCAGTTCGGTCATGTACTAGGGATGAGGACAGGAATAACAGTGAGACAAATAATATCATAAAGAATTGGAACAAATAAGCAGTACAAAAGAGAATTGAAGCAAACACAAAACAAAGGAAGAAAGGACACTGGAGGCAGAAGGAGAAAAAGACAACATGGCAGCCAAGATAATATCCTCTGCAATGTATTAAACAATAATGGAACCAGAGGTGTAGAAACAATTATAAGCCTGGGACGGGGGTGGGTTCTAGTAAAATCACTTGAGCAATTATGGGACAAGAAACAAGAAATGAGTATAAAAACAAAAGCTGATGTAATGATACATTACACTTTATAAACAGCTTATGAAACTGTGAAATGTTTTATACTAAGAATTGATTTGACATTTTCATATTCATTTCAAAGCAAGGAACTGAATTGACTATTCTATATTCTTGAAAAAACAATGATTATGGACATCTGGATTGCATCTGATTTTCTTACATGGGACTGAGCAGGGACATGTATTTAAAGCTTCCTTCCCTGTGGCCTTACCTGTAGCCAGCTCCGGATAACTCTCCTAAGCAATATCTGGCAATAAAATTGATCAGCCCAGGCTGTCTTCCTAGCCAGGCTTTCCTGACTATACTGGAGCCAAGACAACAGGCATTTCCTCTGTAGAGCCAAAGAGTGATGTTCTTCTGCCACCTGGAGAAGTTTTTAAATGAGAAAAGGAAATTATTCCTTATATGGTTAATCATTTAAGAAAGCACAAATCACCTTAGCAAACGATGCTATAAAACACATGTAGGTAGTTGTAGAGGTAAGAATACTAAGGACATTCAGACTAAGAGCTTTGACTACTGACCCTTTTTTATGGGGGTTTTAGATTCACATCATGTATAGCCTTTCAGCGATGACTCCCTAAAGACCACAGTGACTGGCTGGTTATTAGGGAAATGGAATGAACCTCCAAAGCCATATTTCACTTGCACCGAGTTTTGAAGTGAGTAGCTGACATTCTCAGTTTGTTCTCCTGGAGCTTAGACAGCAACTCCATAATAAACTTCTCTAGTATGTACTTAACCACCATCTAACTGAAGAAATGCCAATACTTTCAATTAGTTTTATAGTATGAGCTGTCACCAGAATTGAAATTTAGACATTATCAATAAACCACAAAAACATTTGATAGGAAAATAACATGATGAATAATTTAATGTCTTACCAACTTAAAAGGTTCAGAGCATCATTCTATCAAAACAAACATGTAACTCAGAGTTTATGGGTTTTAAAAGGTAACTGTTACATTCTTTTAAGAGGCAGGAGGGGAAAATCCTTCTCTCTCAATCCTGTCCAGACAATTAGAAATTTTCCCAAGCCTTGTCTAGCTATCCAGCACTGTCAATGATCCAAGCGAATCTCCTGACAGTCATATTTCTTGGTCAAAATAACCATCCAGGAGGCCATTGTGGCCCTTGAGACCACTGCCTGTCCTCACTCATCCTGGCCTGGGAGCCGAAAGGCAAGGGGAGCCTCCTATTCTCCCTGATTTTTATTCTCTGGGAAAACAGAGAACCAAGAAGAAAAAGATTATCAGAAAATCCCATGGAAATTCTGAAAATGGATGTTGGAATAAATAGCATATAGCATATATGAGTTTAAGGGAAAAGCTAAATAACCCTTCTGAAAACATGTTACAAACAAGCCAGGAACTGTTGAACTGGACCTTTCTTTTTTCTATCTCTTCTGGAAGCCAACTCTGATGGGTAAAGAAGCAACCCCTTCCTTTTACTGTCCTCCAGAACTTTTTCTTTTACTTCATTTTACTTTTTAAGTTTCAACTGGTGGTTGTTTACACAAATACTCTGATTCTTACACAGTTCAAAGGAATGCCAGATCTGGGCAGGGTTTCTGGCAGAAACGGGTGCCATACTTTAGCTTTGTAACCAATGTGCTGTGTAACTTAGAGCACGTCCGCTCTCCTCTCTAAGGCTCAGTTGTCTTATTACATATTAAAAGAGATGGAGAGGACTGCTAATGTTCTAAAATTCTACTGTCTTGTTGTGATAGACTGAATAATGGCCCCTCAGGGACAGTCATGGCCTGATTCCTGGAAATATGTTACCTTACATTGTAAAAGGGATTTTGCAAATGTGATTAAGTGAAGAATCTTAAAATGTGATTAAGTGAAGGATCTTAAACGAGATTATCCTGGATTATGTGGGAGAGCCCTAAATGTAATTCTAAGTATCCTTGTCAGAGAGAGGTTGGAGGGGTGGTCAGTATCAGGACATGTGAAATGAAAGCAAGAGAGAAGAGTGATTTGAGGAGGGGGCAGTAGAATGCAGGTGGCCGCTACAAGGTGAAAAAGGCAAGGAAACAGATACCCCCTTGGAACCACCAGAAGGAACGTGCCTTTGCCCCGCAAGTCTGATTTTAAGATAATAAATATGGGTTGTTTTAAGCCACTAAAGTTGTGGTAATTTGTTGTACCAACAATAGGAAGCTAATACTCTCGTCATAAGCTGCAGAGGTGATTCCTAAAATGTGGTGCTCAGACCACTCAGAATTTCCTGGGCTACTTTTAAAAAATGCAGATTCCCTGACACATATACCAGCCCACAACTCAGTCCTACTGAGAATACCTGGAGGGGGCACCAGGGAATGTTCATTTTTAGAAGTTCTCCAGATGAAAAGAAAAACAGGTTTTATGAACAGAAAAGTTTGGAAATACTGGTTTCAGAACTGTTTTCCTATTTTTATTTTAATTGGGCTTTTCTATTTTTATTTATTTTTTAATTATTTATTTTTAAATTTATATCCAAGTTAGTTAGCATATAGTGCAACAATGATTTCAGGAGTAGATTCCTTAATGCCCTTTATCCATTTAGCCCATCCCCCCTCCCACAACCCCTCCAGAAACCCTCTGTTTGTTCTCCATATTTAAGAGTCTCTTATGTTTTGTCCTCTTGTTTTTATATTATTCATTTATTATCACTATTATTTTTAATAATCTATTTAGGGATTTTCTATTTTTAAAGCCTATAATTGTCCTTTTGGACTCAAACTCCTATTTTTATATTCTAATAAATTAAAAAAAAATTAATTTGGGGGCACCTAGGTGGCTCAGTTGGTTAAGCATCCAACTTCCACTCAGGTTATGATCTCACAGTTTATGAGTTTGGGGCTTTGTGCTGACAGCTCAGAGCTTGGAGCCTGCTTCAGATTCTGTGTCTCCCTATCTCTCTCTCTGCCCTTCCCCTATTTGTGCTCTCTCTCTCAAAAATAATAAACTTTTTTTAAAGTTTATTTATTAATTTTGAGAGAGAGAGACAGTGCAAGTGGAGGAGGGGCAGAGAGGGAGTGAGAGAGAATCCCAAGCAGGCTCTACACTGGCAGCACAGAGCCTGACATGGGGCTTGACCTCATGAAACTGAGATCATGACCTGAGCTGAAACTAAGAGTCAGATGCTTAACCAACTGAGCCACCCAGGCACCCCAATAAATAAACTTAAAAAAAATTTTTTTTCATTTGGTTATTCACCCATAGATTCAATTTCATTTCAAAATCTTATACCTTATGTTTAAAATTTTTTTTTTAATTTTAATGTCTATTTTTGAGAGAGAGACAGAGCATGAGCAGGGCAGGAACAGAGAGAGAGAGAGGGAGACACAGAATCTGAAGCAGGGCTCCAGGCTCTGAGTTGTCAGCACAGAGCCTGATGCAGGGCTCAAACCCACAGACTGTGAGATCATGACCTGAGCTGAAGTCAGACGCTTAACTGAGCCACCCAGGAGCCTCCAAGATGTTATACCTTTTTTGGTTTAGTTTAGTAAAAAATTAGGACAAAAGAAGAGCTTATAAAAATATAAGAGTGAGTCTTTCCACTCCCTGTCTACTTTTTCTTTGTGTATTAATAATTGAAAATCTCCCCAAAATATACAAAAGCCAGGTAAAACAAAACTAGAAATTCAATTGGATAGCAAACTATCAGATATAACCAACTTATCATTTGGTAGTATATTGCAAGAAGCAAATTTCAATTCAAATTTCAAATTTCATTTCCAGATTCATTCATTCAGAAGACCAGGGAGTCAGCCCTCCTATCTCATTACAAGAAAAAGCCAAAGCAAAAAGCAATGGCTTAGGGCACAGATGGATCCTCTTGCCCTCAGGCCTGATCACCACAAACTGACTTCATCAGCAGGTCTGGAATACTCAACAGTTCCAGAACCACTGGTAAGGAGGCTGAGTGCAAAAAATCAGGGACAGAGAAAAGACAGTGGGAAGGACATTTTGGGAAGGTAGAAAGAAAGTGTGAAAGACAGGAAGAGAACAAAGAGAATGAAGAATGAATAGATTAGGTAGGGAGGAAAAAAACAGCCTAAGTCATGTGCACAGAGGTATAACCCACAGCATTACTCAATTCTGTGGGACTCTTATTATATTTGGTTTTCATAATCAAAAATGCTAGTTTTACTTTTCAGTATTAACCTGGCCAAATGTGTAAGTAAGAGTGGTCATAACTAGTATAGATTACTGTGCTTATTATTAGACAGCATTTTGAAAATAACATTTTATCCATTTTGAGCTTCTGATCATTTAGTTTAGAATGTCCTGCCCTATGTAGTGGGTAAATTTGAAGTTTAATGTTATTTGATTTTATGTATTTCTGTGTGGCAGAGTAGATTATTGTCCCTATAATAGGATTATACACCCATACTTTTTGTGTGTCATATCATAGTGCCTCCCAATGAAGTAGGAAACTTTTTCTCCCATAATGATCTTGAGTTTGGCTCTGGTACTTACTTTGGCCAATCAAATGTTAGTGGATGTGATACAAGCAGAGGCTTTGTATTGGTGTACATATTTGGGTTTAGTCTTGGTACCTCAGACATCTACCAGGTAAAAACATGGCCTAAATTACTGCTGAAGCCAGAAAGAGGCTTTGGAGAGATCTGAATGTAATCCACAACTGGGCCACAGACATGTGAGTAAGAAATAAGCCACTGATTATTGAGGGCTGTTTGTTATGCAGTTTTATTGAAGTAGAAACCTGACTAATATTCCTTATGGTAGTCATTTTCTCTTTATTAAAAACATGGCTAAAATTGAGAAAGGCCTCTCTTTATCTTACTTTGAAAGTCTTTAATAAAAAAACATTTACTAATTTTGGGGCAGCTGGGTGGCTCAGTTGAGTGCCTAACTCTTTATTTTGGCTCAGGTCCGATCCCGGGGTTGTGGGATCGAGCTCTGCTTTGGGTTCTATGCTGAGCATGAAGCCTGCTTGGGATGCATTCATTCATTCATTCATTCATTCATTCATTCTCTCTCTCTCTCCCTCCCCCCCCACTCCCTCTCTAAAACTAAAAACAAAACAAAACAAACAAACCTCACTTTGTTTCCAACTTACCTAATTACAGAAATCTTCCTCCATCTTTGATGACCAAATCTGAGCTCTTATCCCAAATAAAGAAATACATATACTCAAATAGTAGGTCTGGAATAATATTTCTGGCTTTTAAACACCAAACAAACAACCATCAAATCCTAACTGGGGGTTTATTCTATTTGAAAATTCTATTTATTCATTTTGTAATTTTGGGAGGAAGCTCGTGACACTATACCTGAATGTTTTGCTTGCTTTGCATTCTCAATCTTTTCCAAGGCTCCATGCCTTTTTTTCTTAGCAACACTCTTTCATAATGTTCTTTAGCTGCTGCTTCCAGCTGTTGGTTCCTCTTAATTCTCTTCTGCTTCTCTAGTTCTTTCTGGGAAAAATTAAAAAGTAAAACTGCTGAGGAAGGACCAAGATGGTGACCTAGGAGGTCCTGGACTTCCCTCTTCCCTTGGATGCACTCAGTGTATAGCCACAGATGGAGCATTTCCCTCTAAAAGAAGTCCAGAAACTAGCTGAGCGACTTCCATATCCGGTGAATGAGAGAATACCCACATCAAAGTGGGTAGGAAAGGCTGAAACACATTCTTGACTGAACCCCATCCCTGGCACTGCACCATACAACAGGAAGGGAACTCCCAACTCCGAACTTCTCTCTGAGGAATGAAGGGTTTGGACTGCACATCTAGTATTTCAACTTTTAAAACAACCAACCCAAAGGAAAGGCCCCTAAAACAACTGGCTCTGAAAGCCAGTGGAGCCTGTGTCCATGAGATACACAAAACCAAGAAATGGTTCTTAATGGATGTGTGAGCACTCCCTACAGCCATCCCCATGGGGCTCAGCCCTGAGAGAGCAGGCAAAAGCGCCCATCTCCCAGTATTTCCCTGAAAGAGTTTGATGGCATACTTTATAAGCTAATTCCTGAGGGTCCAGTTTCTAATTTAGCACACACGCAGGGGTTGGCTATAGTCTTCCCCAGAGACTGAAGTTGTCTGATGGGGCCTTCTCCTGTCCTCTCCCTCTAACTCACTCCAGTGATAAAACAAGACCACCAGCATCTCTCTGGAAGGAGTGTGGATACAATCTGGTTACCCAACATTTATGACAACCACCTGAGGGATGGGACCCTGGTTTGCCCGGCTCTGAAAGCCAATGGAGCTTATATTCACAGGTCCTGTAGGACTGTAACAAAGAAGCAGTTTTTAAATGGGTTTAGAAGCATCCCTCTCCCCCTGTGGCTACACACCTGGGCTCAGTGCAGAGGGAGCAGGCAAAGACACATCTCATAGTTTCTCTCATAGGGGCTTAGTTACCTACATTTCCAGCTGCTGCCTGAGGGTACAGTTTTTAATCAGCTTGCATCCAGGTGCTGACTGAGATTCTTCCCTTTGGAACACTGACAGGTCTTGGTACAGGCTCAACTATTGGGAACTAAGAACAAGGGCAAGGGCAGCAGACTGAATGATCACAGAGGTCTGAGAGACAACCAAGAACCTGGGCCAAGCTGACAAGGTTCATCTCCTACATAAGACCACTCTGTTAAGACTAGGAGAGGTGGCTGCTTTATCTAATGTGCAGAGACCAAGAGCGTCAAGAAAAATAGAGAAACGGGAATATCTTTCAAACAAAGGAACAAGATGAATCTCCAGAAAGCAATCTTAATGAAATAAGTGACTTGCCTAATAGACAGTTCAAAACAGTGGTTGTACAGATTCTTACTGAGGTCAGGAGAGCAATGCATGAGGAAAGACAGAATTTCTCCAAGAGATACAAAATATATTTAAAGAACAACCCCAAACATAAATCATACGGCTGAAGAATACAATCACTGAACTGAAAAAATTCAATAGAGGGGTTCAATAGTAGACTATATCAGGCAGAAGAAAGGATCAGCCAACATAAAGACAGAGCAAAGAATCGCTTAAGGCACTAATGGTACACCATCACAGGTACAAATATTTCCATTATACAGGTTCGAGAAGAAAGGAGCAGAAAGCTTATTGAAAGAAATACTGGCTGAAAACTTCCCTCACCTGGGGAGATAAACAGACATACACATCCAGGAAGCCCAAAGAATACCAAACAAAATGAATCTAAAGAGACACACACACCAAAACACATAATTAAATTGTCAGAAGTTAAAAGACAAGGAGAGAATCTTAAAAGCATCAAGAGAAGAACAACTTGTTACATATAAGAGCACTCCCATAAGACAGTCAGCCAGTTTTTCAGCCAGAAATCTAGCAGGCCAGAGATAGTGGGATGATGTATTCAAAGTGTGAAAGAAAAAAACTGCCAAACAAGAATCCTCTACCTGGCAAAGGTGTCCTTCAGAATTGAAGGAGAGATCAAAGAGTTTTACAAACAAAAGCTGAAAGAGTTCATTACCAATAGCCCAGCCTTACAAGAAGTGTTAAAGGGACTTTTTCAAGTTGAAGTGAAGGACACTAATTAGTAACATGAAAACATATTAAATTATAAAACAATAAAAGTTACTGGTAAAGGTGTGTGTGTGTGTGTGTGTGTGTGGTTTAATCCAGAATACTCTAATATTGTAATGGTGGTGGGTGAATCACTTATAACTCCAGTATAAAGGTCAGAAGACAAAAGTATTAAAAATAACTATAGTGATAATTTGTTAATGGATACTCACTATTAAGAATTGTAAATTGTGACATCAACACAAACTGGGAGCGAGAGTATAAAAATGTAGAAGTTTGTATACAAACTTATCAGCTTAAAACAGACGATTATAACTATAAGATGTTTTATGTCAGCCTTATAACCAAAAAGCATAAACCTATAGTAAGTACACAAAAAAAGATAGAGAAAGGAATCAAAGCATTCCACTACAGAGGATCATTAAATTACAAAAGAAGAAAGCAAGAGAGGAAGAAAGGAAAAAAGGAACTACAAAACTACAATAAACAATATGGCAAGAGTAAGTCCACACCTATCATTTACTTTATTTATTTTTTTAAGTTTATTTATTTTGAGAGCGCATGAGCAGGGGAGGGGCAGAGAGAGAATCCCAAGCAGGCTCCACACTGTCAGTGCAGAGCCCGATGTGGGGCTTGAACTCACGAACCGTGAGATCATGACCTGAGCTGAAGTTGGATGCTTAAGTGACTGAGCCACCCACCCGGGTGCCCCTTATCAATTACCTTAAAATGAACACAGACTGCAGTGCCTGGGTGGCTCAGTTAAGCATCTGACTCTTAATTTCAGTTCAGGTCATGATCTCAGGGTTATGAGATTGAGCCCTGTGTCAGGCTCTGTGCTGGGCGTAGAGCCTGCTTAAGATTCTCTCTCTCTTTCTCGCTGCCCCTCCCCCACTTGCACTCTCTCTAAAACAAACAAACAAAAACCTAAATGCACACAGACTAAATTGTCCAATTAAAAGCCATACAGTGGCTGAATGGATTAAAAAAACCCAGGACCCAACCATCTGCTGCCTGGGAGAGGCTCATTTCAGCTTTAAGGACACAGAGACTAACAGTAAAGGGATGGAAAAAAGATAGATATTCCATGCAAATGCAAACCAAAGAGAGCAGGGGTAGTTATATCTACATCAGACATTAAGCCAAAATCTATAATAAAAGATAAAAAAGGTCATTATATCATGACAAAAGGGTCACTTCATTAGGAAGAATTATACCTCAGCAAAGCTGCAAAAAATAAGTAAAAATGCCATGACCCAAACACTAATGAATTTCAACAAATAACTAATTAATTTAATTTCAACATCTAACTACTAAACAGTGTGTAATCATGGTAACAGAACACTGGAGCATCATGGGAAACAATTCTACCAAGAGGGTGGGGAAAAGTTGGTCGTAAGTACTACACGAATGAATGCTGTACATATTCTTAGATATATTCAGTATTGTTCACAGATGATTTGTATGTCACTAAGTTCCCCCAAAGTAAAACATCTAGTTAGAAGAGCAATCAATATTTTCCCCTCATTATTATGGGAAATGTAGCAATACAGTCCCTTCGTTTGGATTATGGGGTAGAGATTTATATGTAAATAATACCCTATTTAAATTTAAAGATACTCTATACTCCATTTAATGCCTACAATAATATTCTTACACTGGGATTTTTAAAAATGTGATGAACAAATAAGTCCAAAAAAGAGTTAAAAATATTTGATGATCATTAGGCAGCCCTCCCTTCTCGGAGGAGGAGAAAGCTTAACCATCCGTGGTGATGCACTGAGAAAAGACACCTCCGTTCTCTTCAAAGAAAAACTGCACCCCGAGAGGCTGAGTGAGGAAGATGACGGAAGCTTAATGGTTTACTGTAAAGGTATTAGGATTTCTTGTATTTCTCTTTTTAATAAAAATGAGCTATAATAAAAGTGAGAGAAAAAACTACCTTAAAAAGGTGAGTGGTAGCAACTGATACCCGTTACGAGAGTCACAAGAACAAAAGCAAAGACTTTACAGTAGTTGTCATCTATGTAGTGTAAATATAAAAATACTGAATTTAAGCTTCTTTTTCTACCTCTAATTTCACTTGAGGAAAAGTGTGCTGAATTAGCTGATTCTGACAAGCTGCTTCATTGCTGAGTCTTATGCAAGAAAAAAAAAAATGAGAGAAGCAAGTGGAACATTTCTGATATGGAAGGGAGATTTGTCCTGATCTTCCATTCCAAACTACCGGTTTCAGTACAAATTCCTCAAGATGAAATGCCCACATTCTCTAAATCACTAACATAAAATTATCTTTATAATCTTTATTCCAGACACTTGAGATATTGAACTGAATGGTCAGAAATAAAAATCATTTATAAGAATTTTCTTAATGAGTAACAAGGAGCAGCTAAGGGTTATGTGGGGAGGAAAACAGAAAAGTAGCCATTTTCACATCCACCGAAATGTCCCTGTAGCATTGAGATGGCAGTTGCAACTTACAGACAGTAATTCAACACAGACAATAAGCCTTTGGAGAAATCCTCAGTCTCACCAACCCTGTTCACACACACACCTAAGTTATGGTGTAAATATTTTCCTAGAATTACAACTCTATGGCTGATGTTGTAGGTTCAAAAGAAAACCCATTTTTGGATGGAGCAGGGAAAATGAGTCTTTATTACTTTTTCTTTTCAAATTTTTGTTTAAATTCTAATTAGTTAACATACAGTGCAATATTGGCTTCAGGAGTAGAATTCAGTGATTCATCACTTACATACGACTCCCAGTGGTCATCAATAGCAAGTGCCCTCCTAATACCCATCACCCATGTAGCCCATCCCCTACCCACCTCCCTCCACCAACCCTCAGTTTGTTCTCTATTCTTAAGAGTCTCTTATGGTTTGTTTCTCCCTTTTTTCCTCCTCCCATGTGTTCATCTATTTTGTTT